CAAACTACGATTGGAGCCACAGCTGCCCTGGGGCACACTGACAGAACCTATTACATACAGCAGTGTCTCCCAAAGTGGGGTCCGCGGCCCCCTGGTGGGCCGCGAGGGTACTGCAGGGGGGCCGCGGGAGGTCATAAAAAAAATTAAAAAATAATATAATTATTTAATGTTAAATTTATAATGTTTTGTTTGTAATATTAAAATATTTGTGTTCATTATTTGACTTGAATAATCCACTGTAATCATTTTTGTATTACAATGTTTGTAGCAGAGGCTATTTCCCCAAAATAAAATAACCAGAAGAGCCTATTCTTAATGTTGTCTTCTTGGTTATTATTTTGGGGGGCCACGCAGACCCGTCAGATTTTTAAGGGGGCCTCGGTGTTACTGAGTTTGGGAATGGCTGACATACAGTATATTTTTGACCTCTGTCACAACTTTAGATCAGCTTTGTATGGTCTCTCTCTCTGGTCTCTCTCTCTGGTCTCCCTTTCTGGTCTCTCTCTATGGTCCCTCTCTGGTCTCTCTCTTGTTTCTCTCTCTCTGATCAAACTCAAAGATAGTACTTTCCTAAACTACTACTGGAGCCACAGCTGCCCTGGGGCACACTGACAGAAGCGTGGCAGCCAGTCTGTTGTTTGTCCTCGACAGGAAGAGTCTTGTTCCTTTGTTTGAGGACTTGTTCATCTCAATTATAACACGTTTTTAGTGTCACCATAGTATCTGATTCAATTCCAAGCAGAGCAAGGCCTGTTCCTGGTCTCCTGGTGCTGGCCTCCTGGTGTTTCCCCCCTGGTCTTGGCCTCCTAGTTTTGGCCTCCTGGTTTTGGCTTCCTGTTCCTGGCCTTCTGGTGCTGGCCTCCTGGTGCTGGCCTCCTGGTCCTGGCCTCCTGGTGCTGGCCTCCTGGTCCTGGCCTCCTGGTGCTGGCTTCCTGGTGCTGGCCTCCCTTTGCTGGCCTCCTGGTGCTGGCCTCCTGGTCCTGGCCTCCTGGTGCTGGCTTCCTGGTGCTGGCCTCCCTTTGCTGGCCTCCTGGTCCTGGCCTCCTGGTGCTGGCCTCCTGGTCCTGGCCTCCTGGTGCTGGCTTCCTGGTGCTGGCCTCCCTTTGCTGGCCTCCTGGTCCTGGCCTCCTGGTGCTGGCCTCCCTTTGCTGGCCTCCTGGTGCTGGCCTCCTGGTGCTGGCCTCTTGGTGCTGGCTTCCTTGTCATGAGGGGGGGTTATTCAGCTTTTCTAAATGATCTGATTATTTATTATGCTCTCTCTTTCTCCCTGTCGGTCTCTCTCTTAGCTCTCTCTTGCTCTCTCCCACTCTCGCTTTAGCTCCCTCTTGTTCACTCTCCCTCTCTCTGCTGCTCTCTCTCTTGCTCTCTCTCTTTAGCTCTCTCTCTTGCTCTCTCTCTTTAGCTCTCTCTCTTGCTCTCTCTCTCTCCTGCACTCTCCCTCTCTCTCTTTAGCTCTTCCTCTCTCTCTCTCTGTTGCGTGGTCAGAGTCAGAGCGTGCTCATGCATGAAATATTTGAATGAAGAGTTTTTGATGCTTGCCATTATATCTTCCACTTGGTCTTGGCCTCCTGGTGCCAGTGGCTGGGGGCCCTTGCTCTGTCAGTGAGTGTGGGGGAGGCTTCAGGGCCCCTCTCTTCATGGTCCCCACTCTCTCATCAAAAGGCTGATTCTCCACGCCGCGAGCCCATCCAGGAGGCCCCACGCCAGGGACAGAAGGAGCGGCGAGGGGGGTCTGGAGAGAAGGCCCAACATCTGAGACCAGGGCCCTTTAAAGCTGGGGGACGTAACTTTCAAATCACAAAACATGGAATCCATCTCCTCTAAACGGTTTGCTTCCGTCACTACTTTTTATAAACATGTATTTTTGACCTCTATCACATTAGATCAGCCTTTTCTGTTCTCTCTGGTCTCCCTCTTTGGTTTTTCTCTTTGGTATCTCTCTGGTCTCACTCTAGTCTCTCTCTGGCCTCTCTCTAGTCTCACTCTGGTCTCACTCTCTCTATCCTATGTGAATCAAAACTCGTCACCTTATTCTTTAGTAAAATGTGGTGTGCCACAAGGATCGGTATTCTGACCGATTCTTTTTTTTTCACTGCTGCAGACACAACTTTACCTGTCGATGAAACCAGACAGAGCAGTTGGAAAAGCATAGTGACTGAGTAAAGACAGACCAGAGAGAGACCAGAAAGAGACCAGAGAGAGCAGAGAAAGACCAGGGAGAGACCAGAGAGAGACCAGAGAGAGCAGAAAAAGACCAGAGAGAGACCAGAGAAAGACCAGAGAAAGACCAGAGAGAGACCAGAGAGAGCAGAGAAAGACCAGAGAGAGCTGAGAAAGACCAGAGAGAGACCAGAGAGAGCAGAGAAAGACCAGGGAGAGACCAGAGAAAGACCAGAGAGAGCTGACAAAGACCAGAGAGAGACCAGAGAAAGACCAGAGAAAGACCAGAGAGAGACCAGAGAGAGCAGAGAAAGACCAGAGAGAGCTGAGAAAGACCAGAGAGAGACCAGAGAGAGCAGAAAAAGACCAGAGAGAGGCCAGAGAGAGACCAGAGAAAGACCAGAGGGAGGCCAGAGAGAGACCAGCGAAAGACCAGAGAGAGACTTCTTCTTCACCGACGGATACACCGCGCCATGTTAGATAGTTTTTTCATAAAAAGCACACAGACTGTTTACAGCCGCTTCAATGCTTGACTTTCGGCTGTAATTCCCAATCTCCTTTCATTTCATGCTTGTGAAAAGGTAATTGTGGCAAACATTCATTCCGATTCATGTGACAGAGATAGAATTCTTTAACTCCAGCGTTGGCCGCTTGTTTATGACCAGAAAGAGAGGTGCATTGTGGTCCTCTGCTCCTCTGAGGGGGGCTACAGTGACAAACACACTCCACACGGCCATTAGATTTTAATAGGATCTATTCATTGATGTTATGGCACTCTGGCATCAATAAAGTATTAAAAAATGTACAGAGCCTGAGTCCATGAATCAGTTTAACAACGCGTCTCTCTTTGTGTGCGTGCGACATCACTTCCTATGGATTTTATATACAGTACACAACTATAAAGCGTACAGCATCTCCGAATCACAACAGCAAATAACTCTGGCTCTGTCTGAAAGCACTCCAGCGGCTGTATATATGCTGCATTTTATGGACTGGATAAGAGAGAGAGCAAAGACAGAGAGAGCAGAGAGAGACCAGAGAGAGAACAGAGGGAGAGCATGAGGACGAGCAGAGAGAGAGAGCAGAGGGAGAGAGAGAGAGAAAGCATAGAGAGAGAGAGAGAGAGCAGAGAGAGAGCAGAGAGTCCTGGATCTACAGCCTGTTCATCCGTGGGAGCCGTTCCCCGCTCAATGTGGGCCTCCCTGAGGTTTCTCACCTTTTCCCACTGGGTTTTAGAGTTTTCCGATGATCCAGGACATTTGTCAACACTTATGGACACTTATCTTCTCCTTATGGACCAATACCAATCTGTTTTTTATCAATGCATTTCATTGAACTGTTTGATTCTCTGATCCGTGTTGGCGAACTTGGCGGTTTTCTAAAGTCCTCTGAGAAAACTACTGTTATAATAATAATTTTAATTTAGAGACCAGAGAGAGACCAGAGAAACCAGAAAGAGAGACCAGAGAGAGAGAGATCATCCCACTATGGCTTTATTCTTCATTACAAATTCAGGCTTCTACTCTCACCCACCACCACAACTCTGCAAATCTCTAGGGCCAAATCTCATTTAGGACCATTCTCCAGTCTCTCTCTCTCTCTCTCTCTCTCTCTCTCTTTGTTTTCATCCTCTATGTCCCCCATACCTTTTTAAAATTCCCCTACTTGCATTTTTACACGGCCAGAGAGAGAGACCAAGAGAGATCAAAGAGGGTCCATAAAGAGACAAGAAAGAGACCAGAGAGAAACTAGAGAGAGACCAGAGAAAGACCACAGAAAGACCGGAGAGACCAGGGATAGAGACTAGAGAGAGATGAGAGAAAGAAGAGAGAGACCAAAGAGAGACCAGAGAAAGACCGTAGAGACCAGGGATAGAGACCAGAGAAAGACCAGTGGGAGATACGTTTTTTCTTTATGCCACAAGGGGAAATTCAGGTAACAGGCTTTTACTTCTAGGACCAAATCTCTGTGGTTTGTGGTCCATCTCTTTACCGCCCTGCTGAGACCACTCCGTCCATTCGTCCCATTCTCAAGTCCCTCTCTCCCTCTCTTTCTCGTCGTCCCCTATGTCCCCTCCACCTTTTTAAACTTCCCCTACCTCTTGCACTTTTACACGGCCATAAACGACCCCCCACAAAATCTATAGCTCCTCTTTAAAAAGCCATAAGTCTGTCCCTTCCCCCAGTACCGGGCTGGCTCTCCGCTCGGCTGGTCAGGCTTTCGCTCCGGACATAAACAGCGGCAGTGCTCTCGATGTTCCCCCATATATAAGCTGTGGCGGCGGGCTCGGCGGGCTCGGCGGGACCCCAGGTGCACGGTTAAATTTCGTCATTACCTTTTCCTTCCATCGCGGTGGAAGGTTTTTATGGGAGGATTTTTACGGTGCTGTGTGAAGGTGCCACTCGGGTCCCAAAGGTGCAGAGAGAGAGAGATGGAGGGTGAGGCAGGGAATGGCGGAGGGAGGGAGAGGGAGGTGGAGGGTGAGTCAGGGAATGGGGGAGAGAGGAAGAGGGAGAGGAGGAGTATTTCTGTAGAGTGTTTTCAAAAAAAGAGTTCAGAGAAAGATTGGAGAGAGAGACCAAAGAGAGACCAGAGAGATATTGGAGAGAGAGACCAAAAAGAGACCAGAGAGAGATTGGAGAGAGAGACCAAAGAGAGACCAGAGAGATATTGGAGAGAGAGACCAAAAAGAGACCAGAGACAGATTGGAGAGAGAGACCAAAGAGAGACCAGGGAGAGATTGGAGAGACAGACCAAGGAGAGACCAGGGAGAGATTGGAGAGTCAGACCAAGGAGAGACCAGGGAGAGATTGGAGAGAGAGACCAAGGAGAGACCAGAGAGATATTGGAGAGAGAGACCAAAAAGAGACCAGAGAGAGATTGGAGAGAGAGACCAAAGAGAGACCAGAGAGATATTGGAGAGAGAGACCAAAATGAGACCAGAGAGAGATTGGAGAGAGAGACCAAAGAGAGACCAGGGAGAGATTGGAGAGACAGACCAAGGAGAGACCAGGGAGAGATTGGAGAGAGAGACCAAAGAGAGACCAGCGAGAGATTGGAGAGAGAAGTAAGTAAATAAGTAATGTTTATTTATATAACGCCTTTTCACAGACCAGAGTCACAAAGCGGTTTACAATTGTTATTTTTTGGGCATTTGTCCTCTCACTCCACACAGAGATGGGAGCAGGGGACCAAGGAGAGACCATGGAGAGATTGGAGAGAGAGACCAAAGAGAGAGCAAAGGCAGAGAGCAGAGTGACAGACCAGAAAGAGACCAGAGAGACAGACCAGAGAGAGAGAGACCAAAGAGTGGTTTGTGTTGTAATTATATGCAAAGGTGCGTCCTAATTTGATCACATGTTGTATAAAAGAGAGAGTACAAGACAAACCAGTGGAGGCCGTGTTTGAAACTCTCTCTCACTTCTTTCCCACACGTTCTCTGTGACATATCGTGTTTTCATGAATCAAACAGGAGGTGATGGATGTGTGCAGGGGGAGGGGTCAGTGTGTTAGAGGGAAGCCCAGGACCAGGCACCGCCAACAGGCCTGGCATGGGCACTGCTCCCCCCGGCCCTGGACCTGACACTTCCAATGTAATAACAGATAAATGGAGAGGGCTCTACGATCACAAAGCAAACAGAAGCGGAGCCAATGGGACGGGGGGGGGGCATTGGAGGGGGAGGAAGGGAGAGGGGGTAATGGGCGACATCTGGCATCACGGACTTTCATCTGCCTCCTGTAACATGTGTCGGCCAGCACCATGTGACGGAGGAGCCACAGAGACCAGGGACGCACGGGTTTAGCCAAATGTGTAATAGGGATATTTCTAAGACACGTCAAGAGCAAGATTTCTGTTTGTTTGAAAAGTCGAGTTTTGCTCAAAAGAAAAATAAAAACATTTACGTTTGAAATAGCGACATGTGAAGAAGTATGAACACTTGGATTCATTTCATCCATTTTGTTTTACAGAGACCAGAGAAGATCTAGACTAGAGATGCCATGGGACAGAGAGAGACCAGAGAGTGAGCCTAGAGACACCAGAGAGA